ATTTGGAAGTCCAAAGATGAATTAAATAACTACTGCTAGTGCAATGGATGCAAGGCTAAAGACTCTTTTTAAGTCACCATAAATAATCAAAACATCAAAGTCAAACTAATGATTATGAACAAGCACTTATTGGGAGACAATCCAATTTTTTCTCCTTTCATTTATTTTAATTTCTACAACATAAGGTTAGTAGATTTTATTGTTTTTATCAATATAGGGTATCTCCACCCCCAAATTTTCGTTTTGGTTATGTTTCAACTTATTATAAATTGTTCTATATTAAGATTGATTTTAAATTATTTTGAAGGAACATAAGACGTGAACACATGGGACAAGGAAAAAGATAACTATTCCATTCTTTACCCTTAATGTTTATATTTTGCTTGTTATAATTTTAAAAATTGAAGACAATATCTGTTATAAGTTTGGGGGTGGGAAAACATCGAGTATGTTACTTTTTTTACTATTTTATGTGCTTGTTCGCATACAAAAAAAAATTATAAAAAATAATTTATTTTCAATTTTATTATTGTTTTTGTGTACTTGTGTGAATTAGATAAATTTACTTACTACAATATATATATTTGAAACTATCTTTTATGCTATAAATTGTGAAAAAAGTTGCATATCACGTTGATTTATGCCTATTCATGTGAAACTTGAATTTTTTGCGCACAAAATTTATGTTTTACATCATTAAAGAATTACGTAATTCAAAATTTTGAATATGTTGAAGAAAAAATAGTGGACTTTAAATGTTAAATCCAAACAAACACAAAGCCCCTATTTGGTAGAAATTAAAATTTATATAATAATGTAAATCAAAGTCAACGGATGATTTTAATCGCATATTTTATGAGTTCCAAAACTTTTCAACCGTACATTTCATCAATTTATATTAAAATTTGGTAAAAAAAAATTGATTTTAATCTCCACTAAACAAATGCAAAATTATAGATTCTTAAACCAATTTTAGGATAGTTTGAGGAGATTGAACTGTTGTGGAGAGACATTGAGGTAAATGTGAATTTCATGTGTGCTAAATTTTTTGTGAATTGTCTAAGACCAATAAGATGAAAATTAGGTGAAAATCTTAAGTTGAAATTAATTTTTGAGAATAAGTATTTAATGAGGGGCATTGCATTAATCATTGCATAAAAGGAAAAAAAGTTGTCTTGTTTTAAACCTATCCTAAAAGATATCAATGAGGACACTTATTGAAAATCGTGAAAAGAAACCTAAAAAATGGATCAAACTAATGAATGAAATAAAATACGCACAACAAACTTCAAAAACAAGTGCATGAAACAAAAGACAACACATGCCTTGATTAAGCCCCAAATACTTATTTGAAAGAATTTGACTTTGGTAAGGGATTATTAGTTTAGTTGATTCTTTGAGATTGAAATAGAAAAAAAATAAGGAGAATACTCGTTTGCTAATGTGTTGGGCTACAATTAGTAAATCTAATCAAATTGGAGAGGGTGGAGACAAATGTATCAATTCAACCTTATATCACACATTAGGAAAAGAATTAAAAGCATAAGTTTGGGAATATGCATCCCATAAGAGAAGAAATGAGAAAGTTGATTATTGAGGGTCGAAATTTAAATTATTTTATGAATTTATGATACTTTAAATGAATCTTCACACAAATGTCATTTTCATTGGATAAATAGAAATTAATTTTAGGAATGTGATTTTAAAACAGTTCATAGTTTTAATACAAAAATTCCAATTCTGAGGGCCAATTCCATATCATCTAACCATATTTTTTTAAACTAGGTTATAGTTTTGTTTGATGACAAACAAATGTTCAAACTTGGGGATGTTTGATAAATATATTTTGTACATTTATTTATGTTATTAAATTTGAATATTTATTAGTGTTTTGGATGAATTATAGCTTATTATGTGTAATTATGTTTATTAGGTTAAACTCAACACAAATTGGTGGAATTGGAATAAATGAACAATAAAAAGGGCGAAAACAGAAGAAATTCGAAATTTGGGCACTATGCGAAAAGTTTCAAAAGTTTACTCGGGCCGCATATCGATAATTGGAGAGTGATAGATGTTAATCGGATACAATTATAAGTCAAATGAGTGAAGCATTGAAATATAATCAAAGTATTCAATTTCCAACGGCACATGCTCACATTGAGATCCATTTTTCCATAGAAAATGTTTGAATTAAAAACATTCTATTTCGAAACTATTGCCCATTGAGTTAGCTTTTGTACGCACTATGAATCGTCTCAATTGGATATCGAAAGAGAAAGATAGAATAAAAATACTGACAACTATTTATGATGAAATCACGCAAATCGACGTGCGCAGGGGATAAAAGGTTGGCTAAATATTATCGGGGAGCAATTCAGTTAGCTGGCGTGCATTTGGAGATTATACCAACGCATTCGCGAGGTATGATATGAGGACTAATACTGTGAATTCTGTTTTAAAGTGAAACTTTTCTTGGAACATGATTTTGACCCTATTTTACATAGTTTTTGACTCTTATAAATACAAAACGTGGGTTATACATTGAAAACTCTATCTTGCCTCTAATTACTATATCATATCATCAAATTTATTAAGAACAAAAGGTCAATTGACATATTTGGAGAGATGAGATCAAACCCTATCGAAATTGAAGGTAAAATACATCAAGATTTTGAAGAATCCAACCTTGAAATTGAATATCAAGGTTTCTTGCATTATTTCATGATTCTGGTGATATTTTTCCATTAATTTTCTTGTAATTTATAAGAAATCATGTTAGGCTAGATCATTTTTTCATTGAATGAAGATGAACTATATTATTTATTTGTTTTAATTCAAGACTAGTAATTTAATATTTTTTTTGCGTTTTTTGATTAATTTTGAATACATATTTTATATTGTTTGGCATCAATTAGATAACTAATTACTTATTTTAGTGTTAGGAGACTCACAATAAATTTAGAATACGATAACTAACACACAAGTAATAGATGTTAGGAATAATAGTATCGCATGCGCAATTATATAGATAATATAAAATTTAATACAGTCTAATCATTTGAATCCAAACTAGGAATATACTCGAGTCGTGATTAGAATAGAATTAATTTATTTTGAAAAAGAAAGTTAAATACATTAACTTTATCGATTATTATGAACACATAAATAAGATTAGATTACAAGTCAAGAATTGAAAAGATAACAATAGGTGGACTCTAAATCAAATACAATCATCCATAATTAGATATAATTCCTACTCTTGCATTGTTTTAGAATAATTTAGCATAATGACAAATCAATTCTCTTTTGTTTGACATAATTCGAATTCAATACAAAAATAGCAACCTTGAATTGAAATTTATTTCATGTGAGATGATATTCTTAACGTATCAAATTTATTACTTGTTAACGATTGCATACGCTTGCGAGATTTTAATGAAAAACAATGCTACAAAGGCACCAAGGAAAGATGCATCAAATTTGGCTACGTACTCTTTAATATCTTTCGTCCTCACTTCCACAAGTGTTTTCCAAGTCTTTGTCAAGGCATTAGCCCCAAAATACTAAACTCACCTACCTTGTAGACATGGATGTTGACAGTTGTGAGACATATATATAATTGATGGAGGGGATGTTGATCACTATGGCTCGGACAATGAAGCGATGATTTTTGTTTGATCGAATTTTTTGCTTTTCGAATGACGAGAGAGAAATGACGTTTCGAGGGCTTCTTGGTTATTTGATTATATTTTTAGCAGGAGTTGTGCTCCGGTTCAAGTAATTAAGTACAAGCTCGTCACGTCAAGGTTATTTTGGACATTTTCAGAAAGCTTTGGACATATTTCGAGTGTTTACAAAATAATATGACATTTTGTTAACTCAAAATAGAAAGGAGAATTTGCATCTCAATTTCCACTTTTAATAACTCTAGACTGAAACGATAAATATAAAGAAAAAAATTAAAGTTGTACAACCAATGATGAAAATGGACCTCCACCATTGGGTCTCATCATTGTGTTGCACCATGCATTCTCAATTATTTTTCACGTATTCAATATTTTATTTTTGAATAGTAATTAGTGATACTCGGTCATTCATTTATATATGTAATACCTCACTAAATAATTATTCATACGTTGCAAGTTGTCTATATCTCACATCACACAATAATTTCCAAATTCACTGTACATCTCACGTTAACCACTGTCATATCTCAATTTCTACACTAAATATGTTAAAATTATTTGAATAGTATATTAATTAAAATTAACTATTTATTAATATGAATAACTTACGTATAGTTTTTTTTTTATTAAGTCAACTTGAAGGCATTATTTAATTGCAATTTGTATCATGTACAATTTTTTTAAACCACTATGGGTCCTTTCCAAGTTAGAAGAAATGGGGAATCACTCAACTTCTTAGATGATATATATTTTAGAGAAGAAAAGAGATAATTAGGAAATCCTTGGTTTAAGATCTTCTCTTCATATAAAATAAATAAGAATCATTTAAGAGTCAAATTAATCCATGAACATGACTAATTACCTAATCCAATAAAAAAAAAACCTTGAATTTTTTATAATCTACAAGCATTAAAGTTTTATCTTAAATAAAAAGGAAAAGAAAGTATACTTTAATAAATATTAATTGTTTATTCTTGGTAATTCTAGTGATCAATATATAGGACACTGCCACATGATTTAACACCTTGGATGAAAGAATATCACTATTTAAAAAACAGTCGATTGCCTCCATCAAATTATTTTTTGCCACAAACTTAATCCGTCGTCCAAGGTGTTAAAAGTCATTTGGCAAAACAACATTATTCTATAGGACATGCATGCGTAGTATCTTTTGACTATTATAATCAATCATCATTAACACAAATAAATTACTTTTCTTAAAGCTAACAAACACCATAAATCACCCAACCCCACCAATCCTTCTCACTCACCACACTAATTAACACTCACTAGGATCTCCATCTTCAATTCATGGCAGCAACCACCTCCACAACCTTCTGCAACTTCAATTCCAGAGGAAATTCCATGGGGCCGAGGGTTCGGTCCTCGTCGGACCATGGCTCCCAAGGGTGCACAACAAAACTCGATGGGGTGGCTATGTGGCTCATCAATGGCTTCACCTCTGCATTTTTTGCTTCCTTGGAACGCTGTTCTTGCATCCGTATTTCAACTCATGAAGATGAATATGGCTATGAAGCCAATAATTTGCCACTGATTTTCAATGACGGAAATGTTGGAGATGACGGTGTTAGGCGGCAGAGACAAGAAAAGTGATCGTGGAAGGAGGGAGAAGCGCTGCCTCCTCCGGAGGATCGATTAATTATTAAAATAAGGTGCATGCATGTATGCTTTTTTCTTTGTTAAGTTGAAACAATGGATCGGAGCAATATTAAAGTTTAAAGTTTGTCTTTCCATACTTTGAAACCTTTATGACATCATCTTCTAATTTGCATACGTAATCCAAAATCTGGATTCTCGAACCTGTTAGAACGTTTGGACCGATTTGCAACTGAACCGGTTGATAATTGCCCAAATTTACTGGTTTTTGTGAATAACCAGGGAACTTGTTCAGGTTAAATGATAGAGAATAAAAATGATATTTTAAATAGTGATTTTTTAGAGAATATATGCTTAAAAATTAGGGAAACGTTTTGGATTTACGTCCAAAATATTTTAGCCCCTGTTTTTTTTTTTTTTTTTTTTTTGAGTGAGTTTTTGAGTAGTAACTTTTTTTGTGAATGTGCTATTAAAAAGTAAGAAAAAATTTTGAGTTTACGTGAAAAATACTTTATTTTAAGAATGCGTTGTTGAAAATAAGTATTTTTTTTTGAAAGAATGGGTATCAAACGGGGACTTATTGTATAAATGTGTAATTGAAAATTAATAGGAGAATTAAGGAGTTTCGTTTTATAGGGAAATCAATAATGATTTAGTCCGGTCAATATTTTAAGTGGAGCTTGAGCTATCTCAAATAGTATCAACTATCAATGTTTTAGAAACATTCTCGCTCGCTCACTTGACTTGAGTTGGTTAAATTAGCAAATTGTTTCAGTTATATTCTTAATATTATTTCTAAAAAGTTGGAATAACTTGCTAGCCTATTGACTCAATCTTTTACATTTTCCGTATCAATATTCAAGCCGGATTTAAATTTAAAAACATTGCATAATATTTGCATTTGTAAAATGATATCTTTGGAACCTTGAACCTTTTTCTTAAACTAATTTCTTCCAAGGGATTTTAATAAATCTCAAAGAAAAATAATGGTAAGTACCGACATAGGTAGCCTCAATTATTTTTCTCAAGAATTAAAGAATCAACAGTAAATATGCACTGATAAAGTAAAAGCCACTCTCAGCTAGTACAAATGATTTTGTTTCTTATAATCATATCTTTCGTGGGTCTGAGTTTCTTTCTAACTTTGGATTTAAATTTTCTCAAAAGACTTGTTGCAAAACAATCAAGATACCAGAATAGTTCTGATACCAATTGTTGTAAAACTAATCACCGAATTGAGATGTTGAAATTATATGTCACAACAATTAAGTATTTGATCAAACAAAAGAATAATAAAGATAAAATATAATAGAGGAATTAAAAGAGTTTATTGACTGAAAAATAAAGGAGAATAGAGAAAATTACAATGGATCATATAATTCTAGTAATCTATTTTCTCACATTATAAAATTGTATACAAGAACCTAGTATTTATAGGGAATAAGTAGGGAATGTCCAAACTCACCTAGTAGAGTTGTTGATGAAGTGAATACCATAAAATTGAGTTCAAAACAAATTTTAACTCCGAATGGACTTCCAAAATAGAATTTCAACATTACATAGGATTCCATAATATTCCAAATTTAAATTCTTCATGACGTGCACTTCAATTAGAATTTTTCAATTACTTCAAGAAGAAATTCGGATCACATCCAAATTCTAACACTCTCCACATTGACACGAATTCAATCAAGGAATGAACTGACTTCTTCANCGAATTCAATCAAGGAATGAACTGACTTCTTCAACAATAACCAAAAAATTAATTTCTCCAATCAAACACAAAATACTCTATCTCTTTCAAGGAATCCAAGCACTACTTTGCAGAATTACGTCAAATTCCAAAAAAATCATAATGATTTTATAATTTACCAAAATTGATTGTAACACACCTCAAAATAGAATCAAACTCAAATGTTTTTAAAGAAGGCTCATTGCTAGATTGTATACCTTCTACTCTACTTAAAGAATGCTCAACAAAATCAGCATCCACATACCCTTTTTCATTGGGTCAGTCCCTAACAATTGAATACAATGGCACCGCAGCTGATGGTAGAAAAGCGGCATTATCCATATCTCCTGAATTACACTGAACTGTATTCATCAAATTTGATTCTTTATGAGCTCCTAAAGGGCTTGTACCAAACTAAATGTCTACCACGGTTCTGAACTTGTACTGATTGACTCTTCTAAATTTTGTACGACCCTGCAGATGTATAACTGAGACATTTCTATCATTCCAATACAACTTGGGCACCCTTACAAACTTTCAAAACTCCACATCCACCAAAAGACTCATAACCTTTTGAATTAAGGATAGACAACGAGATGAGATTTTTCTTCAAATTTGGAACATGTTGAACCTGGTCAAGTGCTATAATTGTCTCATCCAAAAGCTTCAATCTGATTGTGCCATTCCAGCAACCCGACAAGATTCATTGTTTCCCATAACCATGACATATTTGGAAATAGTTTCATATGTAGCAAATAAGTCCTTATTAGGACACATATGAAACACGCATGCTAAATCAAGAATCCAATCATCTTCTAGTTTAAACTCAATGTTAGAAATAGATAAGAGTTCTCCATCACTTACAACGTTCTCCACGAGGTCTGCTTCGCTTGAAATATCTGAATATCTACTTGTAGCCATCCTTTATTTATTTTGAAATTTGTAGCATTTCTTCTTTAAGTTCCCATTCTTCTTCTAGTAGTTACAAATTTGATTACTGAACATAGATTTCGATTTGTCCCTTCCAGAACCATCATGAGCAATTAGGCCCTCTCCATCTCTAGCCTCAGAAACCAGATGCTTCATCTTCTTTTTTGAAAATGAATCATTATAAACCTCCTCAATTGTGAGAGTATCACGACTATATAATATCGCATCTCTAAATGAAGAAAGAGAAACGGGCAATGAACACAATAGGATCAAGGCAAAATCTTCTTCATAATACTTAACTTCCAATGTTTCTAAATCAGCGACAATTTCTTTAAATACAGTCAGGTAATTTTCCAATGATCCTCCTTCTGCCATGCGATGAGAGTATAACTAATGTTTGAGATGCAATTTACTTGTAAGACTCTTGGTCATGCATAATTGCTCCAATTCCAACCACAAATTAGCTGTTGACCTCTCCTTCAAAACTTCTTAAAGAATTAAATTTGATAGATGAAAATGAATATGAAAAACTGCCTTTTTATCATTTCGTAATTTCTCTTCTGCGGTCAACGTTGCTGGCATCTTGTCAATACCCAACAACGCATCATCCAAATCTAGATGTGCGAGTACTACATGCATCTTAACCTACCATAATGAAAATCTAGTACTTCGATCCAAAACCGAAATATTATACTTCATGGTAGCCATCACGAACAAAAACTTCAAACAAATAAAAAAAAAAAACTTAGCGTTGCGAAACTACTGAACCTGGGCTCTGATACCAATTGTTGCAAAACAATCAAGATACCAGAATAGCTCTGATACCAATTGTTGTAAAACTAACAAACGAATTGAGATGTTGAGATTATATGGCACATTAATGAAATATTTGATCAAACAAAAGAATAATAAAGACAAGAAATACGGTAGATGAATTAATAGATTTTATTGACTCAAGAATAAATGAGAAGGGAGAAAAATACAATGGATCATATAATTCTAGTAATCTATTTTCTCACATTACAAAAATGTATAGAAGAGCCTAGTATTTATAGGGAATAAGTAGGGGGTATCCAAACCCACCTAGTAGAGTTGTTGATGAAGTAGGATACCATAAAATTGAGTCCAAAACAAATTCCAACTCCCAATGTGCTTCCAAAATAGAACTTTAACATGATATAAGACTCTAATAATATTCCAAAGTTGTAACCCTCCTAATAGAGTTGTTGATGAAGTAAGATACCATAAAATTGAGTTCAAAATAAATTTCAACTCCCAATGGGCTTCCAAAAAACTTCAACATTACATAGGACTCCAATAATATTCCAAATTTGATTTTTTCATGACGTGCACTTTAATTAGAATTCTTCAATTATTTCAACAAAAAATTCGGGTTACGCCCGAATTCTAACATGACTCTTAAGAAGGCGTCTGAACTTTAATCATTATATTGTCTATAGAATACTGTACAATTAAAATTTAATAATATATTCCTTTTTTGTAAGGAGTGGAATTTTGTATAAATTTTTATAGTATTAGTTACGTAATTTGAAATGACAAAAATATAGAATATATAAATAGGAATGAGAGAGACTAAATGAAAGAAAACTTGGAGCAATTAAAAATTTTGGTATGAAAATGGAAGTATATAAAGAAAATTGCACAACGGTCTCCGAATATATAGCTACTTCTACACTTTGATTCTCTTCTTTTCTTTCTTTTCTTTCTTTTTTTTTTAAATTTTAGAATTAATGTCCACGACCTCTAATTTCGATGCAATTGAAGTCTTTCACATTGAAACCTCTATGTGAAAATACAAGTGTGACCCCATGACCAAATACCTAAAATATAAGAAATAGATAAAAAAGAAAACAACCATAATTAATAAATCCAAACAAAATTTTAAAAAGAAAATAAACCCCTCACCATGTCACCTACTCATCACTAGCACCACTCTCTCTTGGTAAAATATTGATGCAAAGTTTATTTTGATAACTAACCTTGTATATACCCGCTAAAAGCATACAAAACACTTGGTTGAAAAGCAAATAAAATAGAAATATATAAGTAGGAAAATAGTTGGTTCACGAAAGTTTGACCCTTTATCTTGAAAACAAATATCTCTCTCATTGGTTCACATGGTTAAGGATCATTGTTTCTTAAGATACACCGATTTGTTACTGCAGTAGTAGTACTTCAAATCAAAAGAAACGACAAATGAAAAATGTGTCTCGTGCTCTCTTTATAAGGAAGGACTAATGCAGAATATATTTATTATATATAGGGCAACATGACAAGAAATGAAAGATGATTGTAATGAAATGAATCTCAAATA